ACCCAAACTTTTCCACGTCCGTTACCGTAAAGAGACCTTTACACCGCTGTTGACAAGAAGTTATGTATTCTATCCAACTTTTCGCTCCTATTTAATGTTTCTCTGAAGTTTTTAGTCATGGTCAAAATGTGTCTATATTTATACAAAGACCGACAACCTCGCTTCCATTTAAAAAAAAAACGCCATAGATGCTCATGTTCTTGGACTGACATCTGCGTAAGCTCAACTAGTACGCGTTATATTTTATCCTTTTATACCGTCCGCTGGAAACCTTTATTACGTTTATCTCATTGAAAGACTTGATTAGTTGAAAAGGTATCCATAGATATAATATAAAAAATGAGTTGTGCCGGCGAGAAATTTCCGTCAGCGCGTGGGAGGGTTTGAAGTAAAGAAAGTTCTTAAATGAAACAATAGAATGTACTATTATTAAAAAAAAACTATTTCATGGTATTACTTAAGCCCTGTTTACAAGCAGGTAGGGTAACCCTAGTGCTAGGGTTACCCTGGCAGGAAGGTTACCCTAACGCTCCCACATTTCTTCTTTTTTGCATCGACGTGTTTACAAGCCAGCTAGGGTTACCCTAGCACTAGGGTAACCCTAGCTGAGCGCTAGGTTTACCCTAGCGCAAGGGTAACCCTAGCTGTTTTGTAAACGCTCTGCTGGGGATAACTCGCCTACCCGGGACAGCTTTTTACTTGTTTCCAGACCCTTTGAACATTGATAACAATGCATGCGGTTACCAAGCATAGGTAAGTTGTTTCGGGTGGTAGGGTAACCCTACCTGTGAGATTTTGCTTGTAAACCCGGGCTATCTTTGACCCACCTGCTAGGGTAACCATAGCACTAGGGTTACCCTACCTGCTTGTAAACAGGTCCTTAGGGTAGATGGGGGCTGACGTGGTAGAACATGGCTGACTCAATCAGGTAGACAGGCCGGGTAGACCATGGCCAACTTAGATAATCTGGGTAGTTGTGGGTAACGTGGTGGATCATCGTTAGCCTAGGCTAGATTAGGATAAAGAAGATAGAACGAAGCTGAATTGGGAATGACGAGAGTCAACGAGGTTGAAGAAGGGTTAGGTAACGTACATCCAAGCGAATGTAGTGGAGCAAGGCTAACGTGGACATATTGAAAATCATACATGAAGTTTATACAGTGGGACATTATATATACGAGACGTCCTATGTACCTTACATGAAGACTTTACCAATTCAGGTAAAACAATATGGCGGTAGTCATGGTCTTGGCGCAAAATGCAAGACCTGGTTTAGTTGCCATTTCTATGTTATGTTTATTTATTGAAGGTGAGTGCTGGCAATTTTTATTACATCTTCAGACTTGGCGTTACCTTCCTAATATCCAGCTGCGATGAGTTAATTTGAAACAGATGACAAGGTACGTATGATGCACGATCCTCGCAGTAGAGAGCGCTATTTATGCAATAGCGAAAATCAGACCTGAAAAAAATCAGGCCTGTACGGGATTCGAACCACTGACCTCTGCGATACTAGTGCAGCGCTCTACCAATTGAGCTAACAACTGGGAGCAGGCCGTTAAGTTGATTCGTAATAAACCCGTGATGATAAATCAGATACGATGAATACATGAAGTTCATATATTTTGAACTGCGGTTATAGATACGTATGATGCAGAGGTCAGTGGTTTGAATCCCGTACAGGCCTGATTTTTTTCAGGTCTGATTTTCGCTATTGCATAAATAGCGCTCTCTACTGCGAGGATTGTGCATCATACGTATCTATAACCGCAGTTCAAAATATATGAACTTCATATATTCCGTATCAGATGACAAGGTGTTTTAAAAACATATATGTATAGAGGATGCAACTAATCAATAGTTTTGATACTCAATAGAAATTGAACGTAATCGATTGTAGTTGATACAAATCAATCGATTACTATCGGAATTCGATAGAAATCGATCATTCATGTCTTTATGATTATCAATTTTGATCAATTTCTGTAATTAACCATAATTCGTTCTTTTACATTTACATTTTACATTAGTATAGCGTAGACTTCTATGTGGATATATTCAGTCGCGCTTGATATATTCAGTTGCGCTTATAGTGTATGTATTGGCAAATATTAAAGGCGTTGTTTGAATAAGACAGGTTGTCGTTTTTTGTGGTCAGCGGCTTACTCCACGTTCTGGAAGCCACCATGTGCCTCCCCGTAAGCGCTCGAAAAATACCCTTCTTCTGTTCTCGGAGAACTGACAACAGTTTGCCAATTTCCATAGTAGTGGCTCCGGATATTAACCACGATTCTGACGATTGTAGAGTACATATGCGCGTTAAAGTTTTCCTTCGATTTGTTTGACAGTTATCGTTATTCAATACTCATAAGTACAGCAAAGATCGAGTACACAGCACCATAGGACTGCTGGGCTGAAATCTGCTGAAGTATCGCTTTAAACAGCTTTACAGCAGTGATCTTGGTGAAACAAAATAAGAAAAGTAGCTACCATTGGAGAAAGAAGTAACATCGTCTTTATCAACAAAGCAGATTCGAAGTTAAGTTACGCAGTGTTATGATAAGATCGGATCACATTTATGATTTTGGATTTCCATAGATGAGACAAAAAATTTGTGATTATCGATTTCAATCGATTAATTTGACTAATCAATCGACAAATATCAAGTACTTTCGAGTATTATTAAGTAATCGATTACATTTTCGATGATCGATTTGTATCAATTAGTTACGTCCTGATGTATGCCTTGCCTAACTAGCTGCATATGCAGACTCGTTGATGCAGCGATTGCACACTATAATCAAGCTTGCATTACAATCAAATATGCATCATTTATATAACTATGATTAAATGATGATAATAAAGGAGGGTCTGTCCGATCTTTTTGGCCAATGCTTTTCTGTAACTTTATTTTAAGTTACTACCAAGCTTCATAATCTCATATTATGAAAAAGGAATGGAAAGTCAGTTTTAGTTTTAAGCTTGTGGATAAGCTCGATAAAGGGCCACATTAATACTCATTTTTGCCATGGTGCAGACAAAATCTTTCTCCTCCAATTGGTACAGAATTAGATTATGCCAGAGGCAACTTAAATATTCTCTACTCAATTTAAACCTTTTGTGATGCACATATAACTTCTTTAGTTTGCAGGCCTGAAAAGGTGAAAATTGTAGAAGCACCAGCGGTTTACAGATCTGGACAAATGTGAGTGTACTCTAAAAGCTTAACTACTGCAAGATGACTCAATGATATTTGACAGGACTTCATGTTGTCCAATTCAGTGTGTAATAATACAATTGATTTACAGATTGAACTCCTGCTTACCTGTCATCTGATTTGTTGATCACCTATATGATTGCAGACCAAATTGGAATCCACTGTTATTAGATAACCTCAAAATAACAAGAAACAAACAAGGGTATTAATTTTTTATTAAAGTCAGTTCCACACATTGTTTGTAAACTGAACAATTTTAGCTGTATTTGATAAATCTGATTTAAATTATCTCAATTAGCTCTTAGACTGATATCTTAATATTAAGTTGTCTCACAGATCTCCGCAACAAATTTGGACCCTCCTTAGTTGGTTTTTGGATGACATATGTAGCTAGATCATATGAGTTAGACAGTTTACATATGACAATGACAAGATCAACACAAACAGGCAATAATACAATGATCACAATAGAAATTATAATAATGATAGTGACTGAAAAGAATGGTTATGACAATGGTAATAATTTTATAATACTTCTGTGCAGTCTGCACCTGCATTTAATACACAGTGTGCTTTTACTTTACTAGGAGCAATAGTTACCAGCCTGCTAGACATTTATCTCAAAGTGAAACTAAGGTATTACTGTTTAACTTGCTCAAGTGTGCTGAAAGTACTATTTATAAAGGCTTTATGTTTGTCATACATCATATGTTTCATGGATTCTTTTTATTTTTATCTTACAGCTTGTTACCAGAGTAAAACCTAGTGCTGTGTCAGGTAAAAAAGTATTATTTTGTTAGATAAACATTCTTTCCAGCTACATGTAGCTAATAATGAATTCATAATTACAGTCTGGAGGCTTTGTTTTAGTGTAAGGCACAATGATTGGTAGTTGCAGGAATTACTTTGAAGCTCAGAAAAATGAGAACACTTTGATTGGATTCTGATTGGTCAGTTGTATCCTGGCCCCTTGCAATTAAGTTTAGAATACTCAAGCAAATCTTAAATCCACATGGTAAATTGTTTCTGTTACTGTTTCCAAATCAGTTACCTTGTGCTTGATTAGCTGTTCCCTTCAGAAGCAGTAACTTTCCACCAATATTTCTGGTGTTCATGGTTTCTGAGTTTCACTGCAGTAAGTTTTCTAAGAAATAGTTGGGAGTTTATGTTGTCTATGACTTTTCAGCCATACAAAATTTATGCACTTTGAATAATAATTTTGTGACAATTCCGATTAACATTAGATTTTCAAGAAGGCCTGAACTATGGTGCCATGCTGTGTAATAGACTCTGTTAAATCTGTGCACAAACTTATGATAGTTCAAAAGAGATTTATGAAGCCACTTGCCTACAGCATGTCCACTTGTATTTAAGGTCTCATTTTTTGTGCCTTGCAGGTCCACCACATCTACAAGTCTTAGCTGGAAAATGCTTTACATTGGTACATGATGGGTAAGATGTTATAATTGTATGTTTATGCATTAAACCTTTCAGTTGACTTGTGCTGTAAAACAATATTTGTGGAGTATGAGTGGCTGAGTGAAGTACATCTGTTCAAAGATCTGTGACATGTGATTTTTAGAAGACTTAATAGTCTAAAATTATTGAACCATACAGACATTCCACAGTACCACCATTATAAGTAGGGTCACATATTAACAAAATTAGAACAATCTTGTGATAGAAAACAAACTTGGATTTAAACAATATTCAATTTTGCCAATCAGTGGTTCCTACAAAAGCTGAAACACGAAGAATTTGGAGATAATTTGTTGCTCATTTCTTCTTAATAATATCTGCTTGGCCACCAAGCGACGCTGGTAATAGTTGTACTGTGTTGAGTTTTGTTTCATCTATTCTTCGAAAGCCATTTCAAATTTATTTATGTTGCTCATAAGAATAAATAGTGTTTTAAATTAAATTTTAGCTGCCATTGTTTTATTTTTTCTTCAAAAGTCAATGGTACTTTAAGGCAGTTGGTTGCCTTGTGTAAACCACAAATTAATATATTCAAAATGCCAAGGCCTCAGGCATGGTTTCAATCTGTTTTCAGTTTTTCTGCAAGCATATCAATTTATTTTCTATTAAGTCAGCCTTTTTGAACTCTCACAAGATGTTATAGTAATATTTGTGTGGGTATAAAGAATCTCAAGAGCTTGCATTACAAGGTAATCGAACAGCGCTGACTGTTTAGAAGTATTTACATGTAGTATGGTGTGTACTGTAGATAGTAAACATGTATCGTAAACGTTCATATATAAGCTGCATCCGTAGATAAGCTGCACCCCCAATTTGGAAGCGCAGCGCAGAATTTGGAAAAAAATAAAAACAATACATTTTGAAGTTTCAGTAGAGTTGAATGGCTACAAACAATAAAGGTTTCGAAACACCGACATACAAGTTGTGGCTATCTTTCACATTATTTTATCAAGTCTAAAGAAAGTGAAATTTCATTTGTCGTACCTTCTATTTCATAGGAATTTACACCATCCTTAACTTAAAATGCTCTTTAGATCCGATTTTTCGAGATTATCACTTTGAAACACACCATAAAGTTGAAATTCTTTCAGCATTGAAAAAAAAAAAAACCAACCAAACAAACAAATGATGCAATCATTTCAGTTTCTATTTCATTGATTACTATTACAATACTTCAGGTGATTTATAAAAGATGCTACTGTTCTTCACGTGAACATCTGGTAAAGTTAATGTTTATCATTAAAAGCCATAAAAGTCCTCGTTATTGCTATCTCCAAAGAGACTCTCATAGCTTTCTGGGTCAATTTCTGCTTGTTGCTGTTCGAAATTATCGGCGTAAAGCAAGTCCACATCCTCGTCCTCATCTAAGCCAGCAAATGGATTAGAATTGGAGTCATCTTCCCACATTTGGTGGTCCTCTGTGCCATCCATGGCATTCATAATGCAGCACTTTCGAAAGTCAATGAACTACAACAACACGCTCTCAGTTTCTTCTATGGTTATTTCTTAGCATCTTAAGAAGTTTATGAATATTAATTAGGTTTTTGAGAACTCCAAACAGAGATGTATCCACAGATTATAAAGCCACACCCTTGATTTTTGGCTTCAATGTTGTGAAAAAAAAGTGTGGCTTATACATGGACATTTATGGTACTTTGTACTGAGCTATACATGTCCAAACAGCAATAAACATCTGCTATTTGATTGTCAATTCATATCATTTAATAATGGCCATCAACACTGATCAAATGTGGTTTTTAGGTACAAGTATGAGTTTTGTCCTTTCCATAATGTGACACAAAAGGAACAGACAGTAAGATGGAATGCATTTTCTGGGGTTTTGGGGTGAGGCATATCAACTTTAGATTATACCAATATATTATTTATTTAACTTTAAGAAGCAGTCTCTGTAAGAGCAGTCCATTGCATTTTGGTTCAAAAACTTGATTTCTTTCAAACTTTGCCCATGAATTGGTGGACCTCTTTTACAGAGACTACCTCTGAACCCTGTTACTCACAAGATCTGATTGTTAATTCTCCCTTCTAGCTGCTATGCATTTCCTTGGAAATTTTTGACCAGAATTTTGTGTTAGATCAAGGTAACAACTTCTACCTGATATGTTTCCCAGACACTGTATGAATATTACAAGGAGAAGTTTCATGTTTATATATCACTATTGGGAGGAAAAGGGTCAAAAGGACTTTGATTTATTGGTAAAAAGCTGAGCAATCGTTCAAAAAACACAGTCATGTCTTTGAGTGTTTACATACCAGGAAAAAGCTGTCTTGATGATTATTAAAATTATGATGACAATCACAACTAGTATGCCGGTACTTAATTTTAAATCATACAGTTAAAATTTTTGTAGTAGCGTAAATCCATGCAGTACCCAAGCCATGTAACTAATAAAAATAACTTCAATTAAGGCTGCTAAGGTGAGTATTTGAG